TGTGCGTGTACTTGTACTCCTACGTGTGTGTTTTTATGCTTGCGAGCGTGCGTGAGTAATAACATTTCTAAAAGCCATGTAACACATTTATAAATCCAATGCAGCCAAATCACCCCCATGGTCTCGCAGGGAAAAATAGAACAGATAAACAAACAAATAAAATCCACATAAAACATGCAAATCCAACATAAAAAGAATCGAACCAACGGATGGAATTTGTTGGTAATTGAGGGAGGGAGGGAAGAGGGGAAGGAAGGGAGAGTGAGAGGAGGGGAAGGGAGGGAGGGGGGGAGGGAGGGAAGAGGGAAAGGATTGGAGGTGGGAGGAGGGGGAAGGGAGGGAGGGAAGAGGGAAAGGAAGGGAGGGTGGGAGGAGGGGAAAGGGAGGGAGGGAGGGAGGGAGGGAGGAGGGGGAAGGGAGAGAATGCGGGATGAGGGGAAGGGAGAGGGAAGGAAGGGAGGGAGGGAAGAGGGGAAGGAAGGGAGGGAGGGACGGCGTTATGAGGGGGAAGGGAGGGAAGGGGAAGGAAGGGAGCGAGGGAAGAGGGGAAGGAGGGAGGGAGGGAAGAGGGGAAGGGAGGGAGGGAGGGAAGAGAGGAAGGAATGAAGGGGGTGGAGAGAGTGAAAGGAAAGAAGAGAGGGAAGGGCAGGAAAAGTGAGGAAACGAAAAGGTGGAGATGACGAAGAAGGAAAGGGAAATGAAGAAAGGGGGTGAGAGAGAAAGATGGGAAGGAGGAATGTGGGGAAGCGTGAGAAGATGATGACAAAGAGGGGGGGGGGGTAAGAATGAAAAGGTGGAGAGATAGTAAAGAAGAAGAGGGTGGATGGGCAGGTGGAAAGGCTGGGGAGAGGAAGAGAAGGCAGGAGGGGGAGGAAGGAGGCGGAGGCAGGGAGAGATCTCGGTCATCAGGTCTCCAGGATCGGTCACCATGTTGATTATGGCTTCAATTCTGCACTTTCTGAGAGAAAATATGAGATGAGCGACGCGCCCTGGCCCCCGCCGGCTGTAGCGACCCCTGCTCCCTCCCCCTCACGTGAAAAGGGGGTCGGCTCGTGCAGCAAGGGAAGGGGATCCCGAAACCGTGCAGCTGAACACCGCTAAAAGGGAATAACAACTTGCCACAAAAGGGAGGGCTACTCTAATGGAATGAATACCCCCTGCCATAGGGAGAGGGGGCTTCCGCCATAGCAGGTGGGAGAGAGCCCCTGCTATGGAAGAGGTCCTTTGTCATAGGAGAGAGTTCTTTCCATGGAAGAGGGCCCCTACCATAGACGAGAACCCCAGTCGTGAAAGTAGAACACCCTTGCCATGGAAGGAGATTCCTAGGAAAGGGAAAAAAGACCCTGCCGCACAAAGAGACTCCGCCGCGGTATGATAGATCCCCTACATTTAAGAAACACCTCTGCCATAGGAGCGAATCCCTCCATGGAAGGACAGATCCCCCGCCATGGAAAAGGGCATTCGCCACTGAAGACGAGCTCTGGCCGCCCCATGCTGCGCCCTGCCGTGATGCGGCGGTGGAGCCTTGAGATGGGCGCTGACGTCAGCGTTACGTCAGCGCCGCCTCCCTCCAACTTGCATCAATCACTAACAAGTGGAATGATTTCCTTCATGGCCGCGGGTGCGCGGGATTGATTGATTACGAACAGAAACTAATAAACTAAATTAAAACAAATTCTGTGGTCCATGTGATATGAAATAACGAGCGCTAATAATAATATGACCTGACTCATTCTCAGACCCTTGCTAGCCTTTTTATTACTTGCTGTATCATTTGGCTTCAATTTTATTTGCATCAGCACCACTAAAGTCGCACATCCGATCTATTATGATATCCTCTAAAACTGCCCTACGCGTCCCTAACAACACCGAAGGTATAATCAAATGCTGAGTCAACACCCTAACCGATGCGGCAATTGTGCTGTAACCATAATTAGTCCTTTATGAATAATACGTACAAATTCACATTATCAGTATTCACAATCAACCGCACAAGCCACGAATTGCAAGAGGAGGCGCTGCAATCAAGGCGGAATCCTGCAAGACGCTCCCTCCTGCCGTGGGAAGCGCTGGCCACATGGCGCAACTTCCATGAAGATCGGGTCAGCTGCGCCGCCCTTGCAAGTGACAGCGCTCTTAATGGAGGTCGG